GGACCCGGCTCCCCCAGGCCGGCCCTGACCCAGCCTGCCTGTCCCTAGGTGTTCCGCCATGGCGACCGGGCCCCCCTGGCCTCCTACCCCACAGACCCGCACAAGGAGGCGACCTCCACCCTGTGGCCACGTGGCCTGGGCCAGCTGACCCGGGTGAGAAGTGGGGACGGGCGGGCGAGGGGGGCTGGGTTCGCTGAGCCGCCTCTGTCTGCAGAAGGGGGTCCGCCAGCAGCTGGAGCTGGGCCGCTTCCTGAGGAGCCGCTATGAGGGCTTTCTGAGTCCCGAGTTCCGGCGGGAGGAGGTACGACCTCGGCAGCCTCTACCTGGCCTTGACCTCCACGGGCTCCGACCTCGGGTCGTGGACCCCATTCGTTGGCCTGCACCCTACCTCTAGACTCTGACCTGTGTCTTCGCTGACCTCTAACCTCTCAACCTGTGTAATCTCTTGACCTCTTTATTTTCTTGCCCCTCTCGTCCATCTCCGTGTCTGTGTGTTGACATTCCTAGTTTACATCAGACCTCTGACCTTCGGCCTCTGATGGACGGCTACTGCACTCTGCGGCCCCTGCCCTCCTCACCTGGGTCTCTAACCTTCTAAAAAATGATTTAACTCAATGGTTATTATTATATTTTTATTTGACCAGAGAGACAGAGAGAGAGAAAGGGGAAGCGAAGGGACCAGCAGTTAGCGTAATGGCTATGTCGCTGGACTCCCACGTAGTCGACTGCGGTTCGAGTCCCGGACTTGGTGGCTTAAACTCATGCCGGGTGCATGTGTGTGCATGCCCAAGATCCCGAGAGAATAGAGAAGGGATTGCAGCGTGACCATCCCCCCTGAGGGGTGATTTCTCACTTTCTGTCTCTCTGGCGAGCGCACGCACCCTATAGCAAAAACCTCTCTCAAAAAAACCAAAACAAAAACAAAACCCAAAAAACCAAACACCAACAACAAAAAAACAGGGGGTGGGGAGTAAGAAAGCAAGCCGCTAGGAGGTCCGGGACTCACCATGGTCAGCCACATGGGAATCCAGTGCCTCTAACCACACCTACTAGTCCCAGGATCTCTAACCTTAAGCTGCCACTGATCTGGAGCTTCCTTCTGACCCCACCCTTAGGCCAACATGTCCTCCCAACCCCTGACCCTTGTTTGCCAACTTCACACACTGGGAATCACCCACCCTACATGGCTGACAGAAGTGCCAGCCCCAGGGGCGTAGAAAACATGCCAGGTGCAAAGGCACGAGGGCCTGAATCCTGGCGGGGGGTGGGAAATGGAGGATGTGGCATGCTGTGGCCCACGGGAGTGCGCCCTCCCGTCTCTCCCTCTCTCTGTCTCTCACTGTTGAGCATACATGCCCTCTGGGAAAAAGGCAAAGTCAGACACTGGAACCATCCTGAGCTGACTCCTAATGCCTGACCTTTGACACCTCCTTACGACTTTATTTTTTTAAAGAATGACTTCAGTTAACTTTATTTATTTAGTTAGTTTGGCCAGAGAGGGACAGAGCAAGAGAGTAAGGAAGAGGGAAAGTGAGAAGGTAAGCCGCCAGGTCGGGACTCCAACTGCAGTCGGCAGAGTGGGAGTCCAGTGCCCTACCCACCTCGCCCCCTGCCGGCCCTCCCTTTCTCCCCCAAGATTATTTCAACTTTATTTAAACTCCGTATAACCTTACGGCAGTGTCTGGCCTACTGTCTGGCTGACCTCCGGCCCTCCACGGTCCTCCTGCCCAGGTGCACGTCCGCAGCACAGACTTTGACCGCACGCTGGAGAGCGCACAGGCCAACCTGGCCGGGCTGTTCCCCGAGGCCGCCCCGGGGAGCCCTGAGGCCGCCTGGAGGCCGATCCCCGTGCACACGGTGCCCGTCACCGAGGACAAGGTCAGGAGAGGTGTGAGGGGTGGGCAGAGACAGGGACAGAGGTGAGGAGATGGCGAGACAGAGACATGGAGAGACACGGAGAGGCAGAGGGGGCAGAGGTGAGGAGATGGTGAGACAGAGACATGGAGAGACACGGAGATAGAGGTGAGAGGGAGAGACAGAGACAGAGGGGCAGAGGTGAGGAGATGGAGAGAGGCAGAGTTGGGGACAGGGAGAGAGCCAGAGACACAAGACAGAGGGGGAGACGGGCAGCCTGAGGCGGCTTGGAGTGGCGAGACAGGACACCCGGCCACCGTGAGTGCCCAGGCACGCTGCCATCCTGAGCCTGTTCCCCCAGCTACTGAGGTTCCCCATGCGCAGCTGTTCCCGCTACCGTGAGCTGCTGCGGGAGGCCACGGAGGCTGCCGAGTACCAGGAGGCCCTAGAGGGCTGGACGGTGAGCGGGCGGGCCCTGGGCGAGCTGGGCGGGCGGGAGGGCTGGCGGGGGCTCACCCAGGCCCTGCACCCAGGACTTCCTGAGCCGCCTGGGGAACTTCACGGGACTGTCGCTGGTTGGGGAGCCGCTCCGAAGGGCATGGAAGGGGATGGGCACAC